GTCATTGTTGTTTGGCGGGCCGGGCTGGGGATTCGAACCCGCCACCTTAGGTGTATGTGGCTGGCGCCTTAGCCGCTTGAGCCACAGGCACCGAGCCAAAAACGCCTTTTTTGATTTGCTTATTAACACAAACAAAATGCACGATCACGGCAAAGAAAAAAAAAGAAAAAGAAAACAGAAAGAATATCGGCTCTTATTTTTCTGTGCAGTTGCTGTTAGGCAGCTCACTTAATGCGCTCAACGAACCTCTAAGGAAGATTCTGACTCAGCCCCTCACGTCTCAGATGCAGAAACCAGGGTAAGTGATACAACAAGGAGTTCGTTGGAGCACCTGTTTACTGATGCTCTTGCTCTGCCATGCCGACCTGGAGATCTGGGAAGGAAATCTCCGCAGAAACAATCCGCAAACCTTTTCCCGGTACCGCTTTCCAATCCACTTGGACCCGCAGAGATTGTGAGATGAGACAGGGACGTGCGCGGCCGCCGTACAGCGCGGGGACTGGCTGGAGCGTCTTCTCCGCGAGCCCGGCTGATAAGCCCGTTTCCTACCCCAGCCGGACTCAGAGCCAGCCCAGGCCACGTCCCCGACCTCCAGCTGTCGCGCCCCTGCGCGGCGGGCGTGGCCTGGGGTTCCTGGGGAGGGGAGGGCACAGTGTGTCCTTGGGCGGAGAGGGGAGGTGACTCCGGCTGAAAAGGAGGACGCAGAATGAGGGCCCTGAGGGTGAGGCCCCTACCGGCTGGGCTGGACCGGGATCCCCAAACTAGAAGCCCTCGCCCTAACCCGAGACTTCCTAAACTTCCCCGCGTCTGTGGCCGTGGACCGTGAGTCCCTTTGAGGGTTTGGGACTCCCTCGGGATCCCTCCCCCACAATCCAAGCTTCTGAGATAGAGGGACCCCTAGCATGGCCCAAAGTCCCAGTTAAACTGCTTCCCTCATCCAGAGCTCCCTTAACATCTCAGGAGTGGACCCTTAACACCCTTCCCCTCCCCAGGCTTCTTAGGCCACCTAGAAACTCCCCAGGGACCTCTAATTCAGTCCAGATCATTCGCGGGACCTGGTTTTCTCTCTTTAATCTAGGAAACCCAACCCCCTTGTCCACCAAAAGTCTCGGTACTTGGACCTTTCCAGGATCGCCTAGATAACGGACTCTAGGCGTCAGTTTCCTTCTTTTGGCCTTTTCTTGGCAGAACCCCCCTCCACGCTCACACTAGCAGGTCGAATCTTGCCTTTGAGTCGCTTGCCAGGGATAAGATAGTCTCCTAGCAGGACCCGCCTCAGGTGCCTCCAATACCCATTCACCTCCCTCCCCCGCAGGTCTCCCAGGCGCTGATCCGCTCCTTCAGCTCCACTGCCCGGAACCGCTTTGAGAACCGAGTGCCAGAAAAACAGAAACTCTTCCAGGTAGGCGAGCGGGGGCGGTGCAAGGGGAGGGAAGGGCCGCTGGGTCTGAGTCACGCCCGGGCAGGTGGAGGATCCGCTCTGAGGAGCAGCCAGCACCCCTTTCTCATCGGACACCCCCACACCCAGGCGGACAATGACCTCCCAGTGCACTTGAAAGGCGGGACAACAGACAACATCCTGTACCGAGTGACTATGGCGCTGTGTCTAGGGGGTGAGTGAAAGACTCCAGCTGCAGGGAGGGCGGGGAGGAGGCCAGCGGGGCTGGAGCCGGTGAGCAGGGGACTGGTTTCTGGGCTGGGGGTTGGCGCTTACGGAGGGGACTGGGTCCTGAACTGGCTTCCCAAGAGGAGAGCTTGGCTTGTAATGGCTCTGGGACCCAGGAAGGAGGTGAGGAGAAAGCTTCCATCCAGCCTGGCCTACATCAAGGCCAAAGGGTTCCCCACCTAGAGTCCACTTTGGGAAGGGAGCTGGAACTAGGATCTAGGCCCAATCCTGAAGAGCTTGCAGAGGAGCTGAAAAGGCTGGGATGAGATTTAGGGAAGTGATTGGGCTCTCATTCTGTATCCTCCATCTCCCCTTCCTAGGAACTGCCTACAGCTTGTACTGCCTCGGCTGGGCCTCCTTCCCCCACAAAAAGTGAGATCAAGAAGGCTGAAGGACCTTGGGAACTTGGACAAGCATCAATAAATACTTAAGTGTGTGTGTGTGTGTGTGTGTGTACACACCACTTTGATCCCATCCTCCCATCAGCCAGGCATCTCTAAGGACAGCCCATTGCCCCAGCCCATTTAGTCCTTCATGCTGAAACAGGGCTACTCCTAGGAAGCTGCTGCCTCAGCCCTCTGCTGAGAACCCCCTAGCACCCTTGCGCTGCCCCTCAGGACCTGGGAATGTGGGGTGGTGCTCTGGTGATACAGAGGCTCTGTAAGTGGGGATGGTGACACCTCCCCCCTGTTGAGACTCAAAGGTGGCTCCGCACCTGTAGCTCAAGTGGCTAAGGCGCTAGCCACATACACCTAAGGTGGCCGGTTCAAATCCAGTCCAGGCCCGCCAAACAACAATAATGGCTGCAACCAAAAAATAGCCGGGTGTTGTGGCGGGCACCTGTGGTCCCAGCTACTTGGGAGGCTGAGGCAGGAGACTCGCTTGAGCCCAGGAGTTGGAGGTTGCTGTGAGCAGTGAAGCCATGGCACTCTACCCAGGGGACAGCTTGAGGCTCTGTCTCAAAAAAAAAAAAAAAAGAGACTCAAAGGTGGGAAGACACTGAACATGGTCCACAGAGGGAGAGGCAAATGAAGATGGAGACTGACTCAAGGACCAAAGCTTCTGGCTCAGTGTCTGTAGCACAATGGTTATGGCACTAGCCACGTACACTGAGGGTGGCGGATTTGAAGCTGGCCTGGGCCAGGTAAACTGCAACCAAAAAATAGCTGGGTGTTGTGGCAGATGCCTGTAGTCCCCGCTACGCTACTTGGGAGGCTGCGGCAAGAGAATTGCTTAAACCCAAGAGTTGGAGGTTGCTGTGAGCTGTGATGTCACAGCACTCTACTGAGGGTGACATACTGAGACTCTGTCTCAAAAAAAAAAAAAAAAAGACCAAAGCTTCAAGGAAGGCAAACATAGCCTGGGGGACAGAGCCAGGGGTGGTACTGAGACCTTCCACCAGCCTGGGCTCTGGAAGCAGAAAGAGAGATTACCTGGGCTCCTGGGTCTAAACTCCAGCCCAAGCCCCTACAAGGATCAGTGAGGTATCTCAGCAAGAGTGAGGCTATAGGCCAGGTGTGGTGGCTCACGCTTATAATCCCAGCACTCTGGGAAGCTGAGATGGGTGAATTGCTTGAGCTCAGGAGTTTAAGAACAGCCTAAGCTAGAGTGAGACCAGTCTGTACTAAAAATAGAAAAACTAGCCCTAGTCAAGGATTATGGTAGGTGCCTGTAGTCCCAGCTACTCAGGAAGCTGAGGCAAGAGAATCACTTGAGCCCAAGAGTTTGAAATTGCTGTGAACTATGATGCCACAGCATTCTACCAGGGCCACAGAGTGAGACTTTGTCTCAAAATAAAAAAAATGAGGCTATAGTTCAACCAAAATCCAGTATGAGGGCTCAGCACCTGTAGCACAGTGGTTATAACACCAGTCATGTACACTGAGGGTAGCAGGTTCAAACCTGGCCCCGGCCAGCTAAAACAACGACAACTGTAACAAAAAATAGCCGGGCATTGTGGCAGGCGCCTGTAGTCCCAGCTACTCAGGAGACTGAGGCAAGAGAATTGTTTAAGTCCAAGAGTTTGAGGTTGCTGTGAGCTGTGATGGCACAGCACTCTACCGAGGGTGACCAAGTGAGACTCTGTTTAAAAAAAAAATCCAGTATGACAAAAAATGAAATGGACAAGAAAAGGATGAGGAGATATGCAGATTCAGCCCTGGGGATAGACCCAACACCCCACTCCACACCCCTCCCTAGGACCCAGAGTACCTCTTCTCCGAAGTGAGCCACCCCTCAACTCTAAGGACAGGAGGCAGATCCCACAGAGAGCAGCAACTGGGTGCATTTATTTCTCCTGAGCCTGGTAGGCTGGGAGCAGAATACAAAGGCACTAGGGCATGTGGGCCAGGAATAGCCCAGTTTGGCCCCTTGGATGGTAACTATGAACGGGTGTGCCAGGGTATGTAGGGACTGGAATGATCCTTCCAGAACTGTGAGAGGGCCTTTGAGGCCTGTGGGGCTTGGTACAGGTAAAAGTGAGAGGTTATAGAGGGGGTGTGAGGTGGGTGTGGTAGAGGTGGGCAAAGCCTGTTAGCATGACTTAGAGCCAGGATTAACTCGGGGAATGGGGTATGTTAGGCCCTGGATGTTGATGGAGAAACTAGGTGCCAAGGGCTGGGAGAAAAAAAGGCTGGTGGGTCAGAAGGACCATGAAGATGTGACATAGATGGGATCAGCCATCAGGGAGACTGCAGCTCCAAGGTAACTCCTACAGCAAGTGTTGAGGGGGCAAGTCTGGGGTTCCCATTCAGGAATACATAGTCAGCTGCAACCACTGGGGAGAAGAAGGCAGAGAGTGAGGAGCAGGGAACCCTGGGATACCAGACCCCCTCTCTCCCCTCACCCAGGTGCCATTTTGGAAAACAGGAGGGAGGGCGCCGAAGCTCAGAGCTGGTGGGAAGGGAAGGGCTGCAGGGTGGGGTCTTCCCCCAGGTGCCCATACCCCAGGATTGGGCTTCTTACCTCTTGGATGTTCACCTGGATTTGTCCAGTGCCATCTTTGTCAAGAGATTTGAAGGCACCTGCAGGGTTTGGGGGGAGGAGGAGACTGGCTTTTAGGATAATATACTAGCACAAGACATTAAGAATAGCTACCACTTGGGGCGGCGCCTGTGGCTCAGTGAGTAGGGCACTGGCCCCATATACCAAGGATGGCAGGTTCAAACTCGGCCCCAGCCAAACTCAACAAAAAATAGTTCGGCACTGTAGCAGGCACCTAGTCCCAGCTACTCAGGAGGCTGAGGCAAGAGAATCACCTAAGCCCAAGAGCTGGAGGTTGCTGTGAGCTGTGACGCCACAGCACTCTACCGAGGGCTACAGAGTGACTCTGTCTCTAAAAAAAAGAATAGGTAGCACTTGGCTTGGTGCCTGTAGTGCAGCGGCTAGGGCGCCAGCCACATACACCAGAGCTGGCGGGTTAGAATCGGGTCTGGGCCTGCCAAACAACAGTGACAACTCTAACCCAAAAAAGCTGGGCATTGTGGCAGCTGGGCCTGTAGTCCCAGCTACTTGGGAGGCCGAGGCAAGAGAATTGCTTAAGCCCAAGAGTTTGAGGTTGCTGTGAGCTGTGACACCATAGCACTCTACCCAGGGCAACATAACGAGACTCTGTCTCAAAACAAAACAAACAAAAAAACCCTTTTCTATTGTTGCAGTTTTTGGCCGGGGCTGGGTTTGAACCTGTCACCTCTGGCATATGGGGCCAGCACCCTACTCCTTTGAGCCACAGGCGCTGCCCGAAAAGCAGATAA